AACTCTCTCTTTTTAATGCTGCATATGACTATTTCTATTTTCTCTAGAACTTTCATTGCTGACGTGTTCAGTCCATGGTATTCCCAGCATCCTTCTGTAGAACCACATTTCTGCGGCCTCATGTCTCTTCTTCAACGGCGATGAGCATTCACTGCTATATGGACGTACCGATATTACATAACAGTTCAATACTCTATATTTCCAATGAAGTTTTTCTGTTTCTTAATAGTTTGCTTCAGTTTTGGGAGGCATATTTTACTATTTCAATCTACCTTCGGATTTCGGTGTCACACTTATTTTTAGTTTTTATTTATTTATCTATTTCATGAATTTATTTCTTCCTGTCACTGAGCAATGCCTAATGAAACTGCACAGCAGTCCCTAGATGCATCACACACACACACACACACACACACACACACACACACACACACACACGGAAGCACGCATGCGCGGTATTTACCCTGTTATCCTACTAGGACGAGATGTGACAGAAGGTCTATTTTTAGGTGGGGACCCGAGCGCGTACATCCGGGACAGGAACAAAAATTCCCTCAGGCCCCTGCAACCGTCGGTTGCGCTGGCTTCAGGTGCTAGCACCGATCGCTCCCTCTGGTGCAATAGGAGGACGCAGCCTCGGGCAGCTGTTAAACGCACACACACACACACACACACACACACACACACACACACACACACACACACACACACACACACATAAAAACGAGAAAATAAAAAGTCAATGGTTGATATCCCCTGACGAGGGAATGAAGCGATTGCTGTAGGATCGGTCTACGAAACTTTGGGATGCTGAAGGTAACATCAATCAGCTAAGTGATAAATTTCGTATTTGTATTAAACCTGTAATTTATTAATCCGACAGATGTTTATTATTTTAAACGTTATTTTTAGTGGATACTCATATTTGAGTAGACACTCCAATTATTTATAAAACGGCATATTTATTTATTTTCGTCTACCGACCATTCGAGAAATCTTATTAAAGAAAATGATGCGCACGCCGGCAGGATGTGAACCTGCATCTGTCTGGGCAGAAGAAAACCGTCGTTAGATCGGCTGTGCCTTAACCGACTCGGCCACGAAGAAGCCTTGCCGACCAAGCAAAGTCCGAACAATGTCTTTAAGCAAAAACTTTCCGGTAATTTTTCTTTAATAAGATTTCTCGAATATATAGCCGGACAGACTGTGTCGCAACTGGTCTAGAAGAAGGACAACTCCGAATTCAAAACCTCCAAGTATGGGTTAAATAGCCTCACCAACCCGCCAATTGGCTAAGCGTGGTGAGTATGGTTTCACTGAAAATTCGAGGCTGGTAGTATTTGCTAATTTTTGCTACTAGGTTTATCTGGCAGCGAATTTCCCTTTTATTAACAATTTTTTCCCCAAAGTTATTTTTTTCTAATTTTCATAATATTTTTCACTGGAAATTTACCAAGAACAATTTTGCCAAAAGCTGGAAGTGGGGGGAAGAAATGGATTCATACCTTTCCCAATGGCATGTAATTTGAATGTAACGAATGCGACTGGGATTCGAACTCGGCTCTCCCATTCCTCAGTCCGAGCCGCTATCCATCACTCCACCGTACCTACCCCCCCACACGCACGCACGCACATATGTATAAAAACGAGAAAATAAAAAGTTAACTACTGGTATCCCCTGACGAGTGAACGAAGCGATTGCTGTATTGTCGGTCAACGAAACTCTAGAGTTGGGATGCTGAAGGTAACATCAATCAGCTAAGTGATAATTTTCATATCTGCATTAATCTCATTATTTATTAATCTGACAGATGTTTAGTAAACGCTCCAATTATTTATAAAACAGCAGATTTATTTATTTTGGTCTACCGGCCTAAATATTCAAGAAATCTTATTAAAGAAAAATTACCAAAAGGATTTTGCTTAAAGACTTTGCTTGGTCGGGAAGGCTTCTTCGTGGCCAAGTCGGTTAAGGCACGGCGGATCTAACGACGATTTCCTTCTGCCCAGACAGATGCAGGTTCGCATCCTGCCGGCGTGCGCATCATTTTCTTTAATAAGATTTCTCGAATGGTCGGTAGACGAAAATAAATAAATATGCCGTTTTATAAATAATTAGAGCGTCTACTCAAATATGAGTATCCACTAAAAATAACGTTTAAAGTAATAAACATCTGTCGGATTAATAAATTACAGGTTTAATACAAATATGAAAATTATCACTTAGCTGATTGATGTTACCTTCAGCATCCCAACTCCAGAGTTTCGTAGACCGATCCTACAGCAATCGCTTCATTCACACTTGTTAAACTGACTGAGTGTCTCGTATGAAAAAAATAAATAAATAAATAACTCAACAAGGATTGATGTCGTAAAATCAACCTGGAAAAATCATTTTACGCTACTAATTACTATTACGCAGTTACTGTACATGATCAGTGTCATTGAAAATGAATCTTGATGCATAGGAATAATGATGGAAACAAATCTTTTTAAAAATAGATCTTCTTTAGTGAAAACTCGTCATGCTACCTCCACGGAACCGTATCAGTCTCATTTCTTTCGTATTTCATTTGTAAAGTGGAAATTTCACAGAGACAGCTTTTTTCCTAGAAATTGCTACACCTGCGTAGACACTCACCTGAAAATTACAATTTTAACCTCTTCACGTCAAAGGTCAATTGCTATTTATCCTCCCAATGCTTATAATCTGCACCCCACTTTTACGTTCATGTCATACACCAGGTTGTCACTTCATAGCCTTGAATTCAAATGTGTTTACGCGGCCTTGTAGGCGATGGATTAATTTCCACTCTACAACCCCTTTCCCCACAGTCGAAACGTTGCAAGCCTCTCACTACTCTATGGCTATTTTCCTGGCAATCGTTCTGACTACCTCCATTTATTAAATCCGCCAGTCTTGACTTTCACAGTTAAAACCCGCCATGCCGCGCACACGGAAGCGAATCATCCTCATTTCCTTCGTATCCTATTAGTAAGAAGGAAGTTCCATTCGGTCAGCTTCTTCCCAAGAAACACTAATTTCTGGACTAGACTCCCGGGTGGATGCTTCCCAGATCGCTGCAACTTTAACCATTTCAAGAATAGGGTTAATCATTAATCTTTCTAAAATTTCCTTATAATCTGCACTTCTTACCTTACCTCTCTTACCTTCATACAAGAATCTTATTCTGTAACCCTCTTCCTTGAGTGGCTCTTGAGCCTTGTATTGAATGAAGAATAAATAAAATATCTCATTCAGTAACGCTCTACATTGAGTGACTCTTGGGCCTTGTATGTGAGTGCACTTGAGTATTAAAAATGATTTATTTCACCTTCTTAACTTGAAGTTATGTGGGATTACTTTTCAGGACGAACTAAATCCAGCAGTTTCACATAACGTGACTAAATTACCAATATCTATGGAATCAGTCTCCTGTTATTAAATCCAACGGCGATTTACGCTAGCCTGTTTCATTAAAACCAGTGGACCCTGATTTTCGCTTATATATCTGTGGGTACAATACCTTACAAATGCAAGTGTTTCTCTCTCAAACATACCGCTATGAGAGTTATACGAGGAAAATGATAAACAGTACATGGATATTACCATATTTGGACATCCTTGCTATCTTAAAGAGAGGTATTTACATCAGTATTTATGCTCCACTTAGCGAGCCTAAGTGCGCGTATAGGAGAGACAGGGAAAGTATAGGTCTATATACGTCACCCTCTTTTTTTTTTTCATTATATATTTATAATTTTGTTGCTGGAGGGAGAGATACATGTTTGTATGTGAGTGAGGGAGTGAAGGAGACTGCATGTATATGTAAACGTGTGATTTCATGGCGCCACTGTCAAGCTGAGCAGACAATTAATAATGGGTATGTTACCGCGACAGGAAGTTATTTTTTGCCTTTCCCATCCTATTTCAATTAATTCCACTTCATTCTTTTTTATTTCTTTTTTCTTTTTTATTTGACACTTATTCACGTCCTCTTAACGAAAGATAATATCTTTCATTTAAAAAAAAAAAGAAATCTTTTCTTTCGTTCGGCGCCATTTGCTTATCAGTGAATCATTCATATTATTTTAATTATTTTTTTATTTTTTCCTCTGACTAGCGTCTCTGATGTTCCTCTTTTTTATTTATGCTTCTTTTTCTTCTTCTTCTTTACATGATATTATATTTGTGTCTTCATTTCTAGAGAGTGGCACTTTGCTGTCAAAACGTATTCACGCTTGAACCGACACGTAATACGTAATACGATTCTTTTGTTCTCTTGCCAACTTTAGAACGGCTGCATGTGAAACAAAGAATGATTATAGAGAATAACCTGGAAAATTTTCTCACTTTGACATTTTCTGACAGCCATCTTGATTTTAATGCTGTTTTCTTTTTTTTCTACTTTTTTTTTTTTTTGCTAGTGGCTGCTTTGTACGTGGAAAGAAAGAACAATCCTTTTATGGTATTTAAACTTGGGGAAGAAAATAAAAAAAAAAAATAAATAAAGGCGTGTATAAAACGAACGGAGAGAAAATCTGAGTTCAGATGTGAAAAGCGAGTGGAGTGGGGGTGAACAGGATCTCTAAAGTGTTCAGGGAAATGTGAAAGGTGGGATATTTTGAATAGGAAAATTCCAAACGTTTAGCTTAGCAGATGGGTGTATTTTTTTGTTTTTTTTTTTGTTTTTCATCATAGTGTTGTTGAAATAAAATCCTGAGAAGAAGTGGAAATTTCCGATTAATCCCACATGTTTCTCCTTTCATAATTTGTAAAGAAACAAAACGATTGTTTGAAAAAATCAATAGAAAGTCTAAGGAAAAATTGGCATTCAACCAAAAATACTCGGCAATTTTGTTGGATGCTTTTCTTTGTTGGCATGAAGTGTTGGCACTGAATCAGTCCGCCATTTTGGACCAGAGCCAAATAGAGAGAAATACAAGAAAATATCCCTCTAACCTATATGCCTTTATAAAGCCAGATGTAACTGCATGGCTTACGGCCATATCACGTTGAAACATCAGTTCCCGTACGATCAGTGAAGTTAAGCAACGTTTAGACTGGTCAGTACCTAGATGATTGGCGTGTGGGAATAGAAGGAGCTGTAATCTTGGATAAGCTGGTGATATAATAGATTTGAATTGTTAATCAGAGAGCCGACGTTCAATTCAAGTTGGGTTTGTTATATTGACTTACGCCCAAATACCATATATAGGTTAATTCGTAAAACTTATCACTAAAACCATTATTATCTCTTAAAAAAAAAAAAAAAAAATAACCGTACAAATATTTAGATTCCAGCATTAAATAAACCATATAGGGCGTTATGCTGCTAAAAAAAAGCAAAAAAACAGAAGAAAAAAAACAAAGAAAAAAAACGAAAAAAACAACGAAATATATTTGCATAATTAAACATTTACCGGTCATACAAACTAACTAAAATGCTACATTTCTGCAACGTTACATAGAGGTTACAAAATATTTCATTGTAAACTCTCCGTAACGTGCCAGAAACATTACTATGTAACATAACAAATGTGTTGGCTTATAACGTAACAAAAATGTTATCATGTAACATAACAAATGTGTTGGATTATAACAAATACGTTACCATGTAACATAACAAATGTGTTGGATTATAACAAATACATTAGCATGTAACATAACAAATAAGTGTTGGCATAAACAGAATATGGATATTAAAGTCCTGGAAGATCTTCGATTGGGAATTCATCTAAATTAGTGATTCTCAATTAAAAGAAAAATAAATGAAAACAAATTTTATACCTTTTATACATCTTTTCTATGTGCTGTTTCCCTTTAGGACGTGTGCGATCGTGGCTCTCCACAATTTCCTGAACTTTATAGTAACGTTTGTCATTTTAGTATCTCACTAATGCCTTCCTTTGCCAACCATTTGCACAAGCTCTTTCTTCTTCTTTTATGTACCGTGTCCCTTTAGGTCGTGGACGATCAAGACTCTCCACAACTTTCTATCCTTTGTAGCTCTTAGTAACGTTTGTCGTTTTTTCTATCTTCTCTCATCCCTGTTCTGCTAATCATTCACACAAGCATCTTCTTCTTCTTCCTCTATGTGTCATGACCCTTCACGACGTGCGCGATCATGGCTCTCCACAACTTCCTGTCCTTTGTAGCCCTTAGTAACATTTGTTGAGTATACGATGGACGGAACTTAAGAGTCAATAGCAACAGGAAGGTCTCTCATACTTAAAATCAGGAAGAGACAGTTGAAATTTTTGGGGCACATAATGAGGAAAGAGGGCTTGGAAAATATGTTACTCACAGGACAGATTGAAGGTAAAAGAGACAGATTAAAGCAACACATAACCTACCTGGCGAGCATGAGTGAATGGATGGCGGAGTAGGATTTGGGAGAGCTACGAAGGACAGGAAACCGTGGAGAGCCATGATCGCTAACGCCCTGAAGGAAAACGGCGAATAAAAGAAGAATTCCTCTTCAAGATTCCTTACAAACTGCAACGTCTGTCGTCCTCAATGAAATGTTATTTTAGACTTTCTCCCTTTCTTTAGCAATGAAAGGACTACGAAAGTATGTTTGGCTATCACTCAGATTTCCAGTACCAGGATTCTTATATGAGTCATCTGGCCAATTCATAAGATTTTCTGCGACCTTTTGACCTCTAAAAATGCGGCGAAACTGTTAGCAGTGAAACAAGACACTATAACCCGAGTTCAAATTCCAGCCTAGTCGGCTGCGTTATCTTTCGCACCGTTGCTCTTAGGAAAGGCATAAAGCCATCTCTTCTACCACCGACTAAACTAGCGTCGTAGACTGAACTCTCTGGCCTTGAGTGTCAGCCAGTCTAGAAGAATGACGACAATGAATTCAGAACCGGGAGACGACAATGGAAAACTACACCACCATGTTTTCCAATATCAATGGAAAAGGAATATATAGAGCGCCATAATCACCTACGTTCTGAAAGGACTTGGCATTTAATATATATATTTTAAGTGGATACCCGTGTTTGAAATAGACGGGCTGTTTTATTTAAATTTTAAACAACGTACATGTGCGCTCTAGAAAGCTTAATAAAGAAAATGTACTCCCTCTCTCACAGACGGAAAAAGTCAATAGACAGAAAATGTCTATCGTCTTTTCCTTTAGTCTTTATTCATATTGTCCTTTTACAGATACCCTCTATCTGAAATTTTTACACACACACACACATTGAATGGTAAAGAAAAGTGTGTAGGTATTTATCTGCGCGCCAAAATTTTGTATGGAATTTCTGAAAAGCCGTGTAAAAATTGCTCAAAACATTTTGGAGACGCCTCAGGTACCGGGTGATAACTCCAGTTCCTCCACCCCCCACCAAGGAATGTTACTGTCTGTGGGGCTGCAATGCACCCCACCACCGGCGTGGAGATTGAGCTGATATTAATTTCAAATTACTCCGGCTGGTGCCGACGAAGTATGGTGGGTATATTTCTGTCGCTTTTGGCACTGTCGATGAAACAACGAAGCTACCGCAATGAATAAATAAATAAATAAATGAATAAATAAATAAATAAATAGATAAATAAATAAATGAAATTACACCCCCTCCCATTTTGTTGCTAACTTTATCGCCAGCGTCGCAGTCGCTGTTTCTCTAAATGCAATAAAATAAATTCAATCAAATGTTAACGGAACGAAACTCGTCTTGCAATGACCAAGAAACAAGCGTAGAAGCATTTATCTGTTTCTAGTTTTGAGAGACGCTGTTATTTGCGTCATGGAAATTTCCATCACGTTTTGTCAGCGTGATGGCAGCCGGGGCACATGTAATAGCCTTTTACAATATGGCGGCCAGCACCAGCTGTCAGTGTCAGACTCAAATTCAAATGTCAACATTAACGACAGCTGTAATTATTTATTTACTCCTGCATGAGGTCGAGGACAGGGTGAGATTGGGTGGGAAGTTGGCAATGATTGGCACTGTGTCACGGGGTTCAGAAACGAGGGCACCATTAAAGAGAGAGAGAGAGAGAGAGAGAGAAAGAGAGAGAGAGAAAGGAAGACTGTTCGTATTGTATGCAGAAAATAAAAAGAGTTGTTGAGTGTAGCTTCAAAAGTTGCTGCGATTAACGAGTACAACGCCTCAGTTCCTTTTTTTCCCGCCTCTTCTCGGGAGTATTTGGTGTAATCATTCGGGAGTTGAGGTCGGAAGACAGAAGGCTGAGATTTTACTAAATTTTACGATAGGAGCGATTGGACGTTGCTTTAGGGCAGAGTTTCTCAACCGGGGTTCCCCGGAACCCTAAGGGTCAGCAAAATGTCCCCCATGGGTTCCACGAGAACAGATGAGATAAGCTAATGTATTTTTGACTTTTTATTTAATTTCATATACGTAATATTGCAAAACACACGCAATAAATTCTTGGTTATTGTAATATAGACATCATCCTATCTAACCTATTATGTTAGGAAAATTATTATAATGAAGTATTATAAATGAACAGTATTAATTTTATTTAGCATTACCGAAAAAATTGACAAAGAAGTATTAATTTTTCCTTGAACCAGTTATTCAAAAATATATACTATATTTACCACGTGAACTACGACGAAAATAAAATGAGAAAGAAATGGTATAGAGTTTTGTTTTTGCGCAGGGGTTCCTTGAGACATGTAATTTATTTTAATCTAGGGTAAAAAGGTTGGGAAATGCTGCTATAGGGTAAAAATCAGGAGTATTAAAATGTTTGGAATTTATAGGCGAGTAATGCGACACTGAAATCCGAAGGTGCACTGGGATATAACCAAAGATATTTTCCAAAAGCTAAGCAGGGTAATAGGAAATAGAAAAAACTTCGTTAGAAACAAAGAAAAGAGAGAACTGGACTGTTACTGTCCTCTTATATTGCAATGAATGCTGGACAATTAAAAAAAAAACATTTTTAAGTAAGTGTTTTAACAGAGTATGGAAAGTGTGACACTGAAATGCGAAAGCGTGTTGAGACAGGTAGAAAATGGAAGCTGAAAGGACCCTTATACTTAACATCAGAAAGAGTGAACTAAAATTTCTGGGACACATGAGGAAAGAGGGCTTGGAAAATGTGATATTCACAGGACAGACTGAATGCAAGAGGGACAAAGGAAAACAACGCATAACATAATATAAATGGATAGTGGAAAGTGTTTTGGAAAAATAACAAAAAGACACAATTTATTAAGGTCTACAATGGACAGGAAATTGTGGAGAGTCATGATCGCCTACGTCCTGAGGAGACACAGCACACAGAAGAAGAAATAGCTTGTTCACTCACAGGGGATATCGAATGCAAAAAGAGACAAAGAAAGGTAGCCGGAAAACTACTTGACGAGGCGGCATGAATGGCTGTCGGGGTGAGTGGTTGGAGATTTGACAAAGGGGCACACGGAAGAGCTGCAATTGATAGGAAGTTGTGGAGAGCCTTGATCTTCCACATTCTGAAGGAACAAATTCCGGTAGTTTATTGGATCAGTTGTGAGAGATCTTCGCATGTAGAATGCGCTTTGCAGGACATTGCTGGCGAGCAAAACAAGTGCTCCCCAAGTGATCTACTGCTCTGGACTCTTAGCCATGAAGCAAGACGGGTTAATTACCCAGCAGCTACATACATTGAGCAGCTATGTTATGATACAGAATGCCACCCTAATGACCTTCCGACATTGATGCAGGACTGTGATAGTTGGCGTTATAGACTTATTAATGTCCGAGCTAGCTCAACCAAATAACATAAAATAAGTGGGGGATAATGACAGGAGAAGTTCTACACCAATTTTTATGTCCTGCTTCTCCATGACGTGGCGCTCCACAACTTCCTCTCTTTTGTTCGAGCAACTCTTGCCTATTTTTCATCACTTCTTCCATCGATTCAATCAAACTCAAAGTCGGTTATTCGCTGTATTTCTCTTCTTTCGCTTTTCAAAGTCCTGCGAGTATTGTGTTCAATCCATTCATTGAGTTTAAAAAATAAAAATCATCGTTGATAATGGCTGAAAGAATAGCCGAAGGCGTTCGGGTATGCAGAACTTTTGGACAAGTTTAGTACATTTTATGTCCATATAAAAACACTTATAAAAACACCCCCCCCCAAAAAAAATTAAAAAGCTTAATCGCAGAATCTTGTTAATCGTCTTTAATGAGACTTGTATAAAATAGGAATTGCTGCCCAAATACGACGCAATGAGAACGAAAATGATATATAAATTCTAACATTCACAGCATTAATCCAAAAGAAGGCTCGATACTCATAATAGAACTATAATTATTTATTATAATTTTTTCATATAGACAAAAACATTTACTCACTACAAAAATGCAACTTCGTTTCGGTGTATTTGTGGTTCTCATCGGTCGAGGTGCAATTGAAATGCACCGAAACGAAGTTTCATCTTTGTAGTGAGTAAATGTGTTTTTGTCTATATGAAAAAATTATAATATATATATATCCGATAGCTGTGCTAGCACAAAATCACATGTCATTGTAACCAAGGGTCTGAGTGTGCTGGTGTTGTTCAGATTGTTGATCATTGTAGATAATATGCTCTCTCCTAGAAACTGTAACGAAGGTCTGCTCAACATAGTTGCAGTATAAACTACAGGAGGGCTCTGCGGGTGTTGAACAAACACCAATGTGCCTGAGCAAGCGTCTGCAATAGGTATTGTCTAACCACCCTAGTAGACGGGTATCCTCGAATACGAGTGGCCAGCTATTACTATTATATCTAAATGGTCAAAAGTAGGCATACAGTAATGCAAAAGAAAAGGTTTGAGCAAAACACATTGTATTGATAATAGGAGAATAAATATATATATGAAAGGCTCAAACACTAATATTCCATGATTATAATTTATTACATTGGGATCGTAATCATGAATTTTGTATTTGTAGGTCTTATGAATTGGATTGTAATTACGATTCCAATGTAATGAATTATAACCATGAAATATTAGTGTCTGAGCATTTTATATTATATTCTTACTCTGTCCTGGACATTGAGTTCTACCTGGATTCTATCCTCTTGGAAAATATATATATATATATATATATATATATATATATATATATATATATATATATATATATTGACCACTAATATTATCAATATATATATATATATATATATATATATATATATATATATATATATATTTTATCTAATATCATCAAATATATATATATATATATATATTATCTAATATTATCTATCTATCTATCTATCTATCTATATGTTACAGATATATTTGTAGTTATACATCTGAAATTTTACACATGGCAAATACGCACACACACACATATCTATCTATCTATCTATCTATCTATCTATCTATCTATCTATCTCTATATATATCTAGTTCAATGGCGTACTAAAAGTCATAGAATTGCAATAGATAAAAGTAGACGACATGAAGAAAGAAAAAAACAGGCGGTATCTAGAAATGAAAGAACGATTTATTAGATTAAAATTGTCGTCAATAAATTTTGGGTAGCTTCATAGCACTTAAAACATATTGAAATAATTTCAACATCTTTCTTGAGTATTAATTTAGTTGAAATTTCATGAAATTAAATAAATTGAATAAAGGGGACATTGAGTCACTTAACGAAATTATTTCCGCAAACTTTTTTTTTTTTTTTTGTAAAATACCCTATCCATAAATAAATTCGTTTCTAAATTAATAAAATCCAGGAAATTTTATTGAAATCCGATAATTAGATTTTTGGTAATTTTTTAAAATCTTTTTTTTTTTTTTTTTAATTCCGAAATACATTCTCACGCAGTTGATTGCATGAGAAAGTTTGAAATTGTTTAAACAACATTACAGCACAAATATCTCTGGATAAAGAATTTGTAGAAGATGAATTTTTATGATAATTTTCGTCTTATTAATTGAGAAAACATTTTAACTTTTAACCAATACAAGTGCTGACCAAGACCAGTTACGAGACTAAAAGATATGCAAGTGTATCAGGATACAGCAGATGGCTGACCAGCTATTGTATTCTGGTACAGGTTCTTAAGAATCATTTCACCCCAAGCAAGGCGATAAATCCACAACAGATTACTGGCAGTGAAAGAAAATGAGAAGACTTTAGACTTAAATAGGAGATAAGGGATAAACCTCTACTCTTGATGAATAGACTGGGAAGCAATGTGAACTAGATGATGTCGTTTAGTCCATGGGTCGGCAACCTATGACACGCGTGCCACATGTGGCACGCCAAGCAATTTCTAATGGCACGCAGCCGCAAATGACATCACGTAGGCCGAACCATTAACTACTTCAACTCAAAGAAGATATATAGCTGTTACAATTTTTATATATACTAAAGTATTTTATTGTTATACATTATTTATATATAAATAGCGAATAACAATAAAATATATTAAATGATTGTCGGACTTAGTCCATTTCACAATATACTAAAGTATATATACTATATATTACTATATAAAATCTAATTATAAAATAAAAAGTCAATAGGAAATCTGTAGTTTTAGTCGACGCGTTTCGTCCAATGTGGACTTTTTTTAAGGCAAAAAGCGAAATGAATTTATTGAAACAAAGTGTCTATAAACAACAAACAAAATGTCGTTAGCAACTAGAAGAATTTAGAAACGCTGTTGTATATTAATATGGTCAACTGCATTAAAACCACCGTTTTCCTATTGGCTTTTTACTTTATACATATTGCCTTTTTCTACAGGTTAATTCTGAGAGATTTTTACATAAAATATATTAAAGAACAGGTATATTGACCTTGACTTGTATAAAAATACGTCTGCTGTTGGCAAACTGAATGATTTTAGAACACTGTGTCGGCACATAGCGACCTCTGCCTTAGTCTACGAACTGGTGTGTCTACTTTTTAGATCTTGGTCAGCCTATCAACTTTTCAGCCAACCCTCGTATATGAGAGGTTGCTGGAAAGTTCTCAGCACAACTACGAAAACTTTCCCGACCAAATTTTAATGCTGGGACATTTGGTTTTAATTTTCAACACACATAAATTAAAATATTTTGCTATTTACATATATGCATATAGAGATGCAGGCATATAAATATTATATATTATTTCATTAAAACACACACACACACACACACACACACACACACACACACACACACACACACACACACACATATATATATATATTCATGTGGACTGAATTTTTTTCAGATTTGCTGGCCGTCCTG